ACTATTTAATTCAGCTCAGAGGGACATCAGGGCTCGCAAAATTTCAGAATCCCTGGTAGCCCTTCGGGCTGGTACTCTTCAGATTTTGGTAGCCTGAAAATTTAACTAGCCCAAATAAAAAAAAAGACGTTTTTTTTTTTTTTTTATATAGAAAATCAAATAGGAGTTTAAATGTCAATCAAAAATATTTTCAATACACAAATATGAAGGAAGGAATTTTATTTAACTATTTACAGGGTATCTGCAGAATTCTTACAAATAAAATTAAGGCAGTTTATGACCCATTTTAAGAGCTGCATAAGTAAAATGAACAGTATGAGTGGGGTTGGACAATGTCTATGGTAACATACTTTCTTATACATTCTTTCTCATTTACAACTCAATAAAATATTAATAAATACATCCCTGATAATCCCGGGTTACCATGGTCATGCAGGTTTGTTTACGCATTAAACTCATGGCCACAAGAAAAATATGTCGTTCCTTCAACATATCATCTCGTGGCCACGACAAAATTAAGTGAACCGAACAGGTCCCCTAGCCATCACCATAAATATGAGCATAGCAACAACCATGTTAAATTTTTGCTCATGGTTGTTAATTTAACACCACTTACCTGTCTTAAACTGTCCTGATCGTCCATTTTGAAGCGGTTAATTAGCCAGAATAGCGAGTTTGGTGCCTGGTCCCACACTGATTGTAAGGCAAAACATGATTGGTTGAAGCGAGAACACGCTACGATTGGTCGGCGCCATGTGTCCGGTATCTGATTGGCTTAAGTAGAAGGGGGGTGGAGTCCATCCATTTGTGGATTGGTTTGCCTCTTGACGCTTGAAATGTCTCAAAATCCACAAATAAGCGCAACGATTTACAAATGCACAGGACGCGATTCACAAATGAATGCCAGGCAAAGTTGTTTGTGTGACATAAAAATATATCTGTGAATGTTTTTTTTATTTGCAAATCTCATTGTATTTTTTGTGTGAATTTAATTCTTGTTTGTGAAACTCTAAGATTTATTTGTGGATCATAATGTATTTATTTGGAATTATGCAATGATTCTACCCCCATAAATACTGATGTCTGAAATTATTTAAAAAATGAAAAGATACTTTAAATGTGAAATTAAAATCACCAGCAGGTGGCAGCAAGTCACTGTTAACAAGTGAGTCATTGCAACTGAAATTAATCATTTAAACGGTTGATTCATTCAGGAACGAAACACCGTCATGTTGCTCAGAGATGCAAAACTGTTCTGTGGTGGCTGTTTGGAATAATTTTTTGTTGGCGAAATAGATCAAAAAACAGGCAATATGGTGTCTAAAATGTAAGTCTCTTAAAGGGTTAGTTCACCCAAAAATGAAAATTAGTCTTTACTCACACCAGAGGCATCCTAGGTGTATATGACTTTCTTCTTTCAGACAAATCCAGTCGGAGTTATATTAAAAATTGTCCTGGCTATTCCAAGCTCTATCATTGCAGTCAGCGGGTGTTGCAGTGCTTCAGTCCAAAAGAAGTTAAATAAAAAGCGCCTTTCAAACTGGAATCATGGCGGAATATCCGGTAATGTCCACTTTGCAGGGCACTTACAGTCAGATATAACAAGCACAAACAAAATGTACAGAGCGGGGGTACGCGAGGACTGGAAATGAGAACCACTGTTCTAGACATGCCAAAAATTTTAGGCTACAGCACAGCAGCTCTTCTTCTTCGTCGTCTCGTCTGATGCGCTCACTCAACCAAGCGTTCTAACCACAACCTCGCCCCTTCCCACCCCCCAACCATTAGAATTTCTGTAGGCGGGAATTATTTGTAATGAAATTCTAATGAGCCGCTTTGTGACATCACAAAGCCCGGAAACCAAACGCTGTAGTCCAAACGAGCCGTTTGCTGTAGTTCTTGAAAATGGATTTTTAAAAAACTAAATATCTCCCTTTGGAGTGGACTTGGAGATTTGTAACTTTCTAGATCTTTTTTATACCCAAACATACACACTACACACTGACTAAAATTAAAAAAGTGAAAAAGCATAATAGGATCCCTTTAATGTAGTTTGCGCCAGCAGTTGTACATGGAAGCAATTCCGGGCGGATGACATATGGGGTCAGCGTTGCACATGCGCCGGTGAGTCTCGTGAAAACTAATGTTTGTTAACAGGAGCAAAAGAAGCAAAGATTCCTTACTTCAGCAAAGGAAAACCAGTCTCCTCTTGGCTTCTATCGAAATCCTCCGACATTCTTCTTTACAAATCCTCGTTTTGTACTTCTAATAAGTGACAGTTGTTTTTGATCTCTCCTCTGCGTTTCCGCGTTTGTCACTTCTGAGCGGCGCATGCGCAACGCTGAACTCATACGTCATCAGCCCAGAGCTGCTTCTGTTTACAACAGTGAGTGCAAGCTAGATTAAAGTGATTATTATGTTTTGAATATGGATATTTTTCTTACAAAAACGCATCGATTCGCTACAGGAGGCCTTTGTTCACCCCCCCGGAGCCGTGTGAGACATTTTTTTTTTGGATGGGCGCTTTTTATTTAACTTCTTTTGGACTGAAGCACTGCAACACCCGCTGACTGCAATGATAGCGCTTGGAATAGCCAGGACAATTTTTAATATAACTCCGACTGGATTCGTCTGAAAGAAGAAAGTCATATACACCTAGGATGCCTCGTAGGCAAGTAAAACACAGCCTAATTTTCATTTTTGGGTGAACTAATCCTTTAATATTAACTTATTGTTTATTGAACTGTTGTATAAAATCAGTATCACATTTGTAATCATGCTTATTTTTGAAGAAAAAAAAATGGCACACTTCATGTGATTTTTAACTATATGAAATGATATAAATATGTACATTTTCTTCCCCCATATCTTGAGTTTTGTGATCTTTCTTAATGCATTTTAATAGACTGAATCATGCAGCGAAAGAACGCACTCAAAATGCGCACACGCACTAGTCTAACCCAGTGGTTCCCAACCCTGGTCCTGGAGGCACCCCAACACTGCATGTTTTGCATGTCTCCTTAATCAAACACACCGGATTCAGATCATCAGCTCATTAGTAGAGACTCCAAGACCTGAAATTGGTGTGTCAGAGAAAGGAGACATGCAAAATGTGCAGTGTTGGGGTGCCTCCAGGACCAGGGTTGGGAACAACTGGTCTAACCCACTAGACTTCATCATGTAATATGTGTTTTGTTTGGTTTTTGCAAAATACTCGATAATGTCAAATTGCTCATTGTTAAAACAACAATTATTATATTATCGCAGATGATATATATCGCACACCCCTTGCTAGAACAGTGTGCAAGTAAAAAAGTTTGGAATGTTTAGAAAGGCTTTAAAATGTGTGCAAATAATACACTTGCATGATGATGAGGAGCTGAAATGTGACATGAGTGTATCCACGATAGAGATGATAATCAAAAACAATAATCAGCCTTATCAGCAATAATCAGCCATCAAAAACAATAAAACTGCCCTAGAACTGCAACTGATAGCACTATACTACGATCTCTCTGTAATGGCAAATTGCCGAGATATTTTAGTAATTCACATTTAGTCATTTAATTTCTTAACATGTCACAGACCAGGAGATTTAAATAAAATATCTACGTATCTAACTAGTGAAGATGGAAGGTAGGTGATTTGAGAAAAGTTGGCCAATCAGTTGACAATCACATCAACAAAATTGGTGCAAGAAAGTAAAAATACACATGATAATAATTGTGCTAAACTATACTGTACTGTAATTCATTAAATTCAGCATTGTTAAAAACAAAGTTGCTTCACCTGGTGCCTGAGCTCACAGGAAACACAGGAAACTCTCTCACCCTTAGGAAACACTTCCTCCTCCTCCGGCCAACAATGGTTCCATGTGAACAATAAACTAAAAATAAGCTGTGCTGCTGTGTGCCTTTTAAAGGGCAGCTGTTCTCTACGGCAGCATCCTGACTGAAATAGACCTTCATAACAAGTACATGATTAGAAACGACCTACATGGGTAACAACTTTTTCCCTTTTTCACCCCAGCATTTTTTATTCTAATGTATTAAATATAAATTTTAGTATATTATAGATGAACATTCCAGTTTATACTGATTAGATGGTTTTGTGAAGTCCTCTTATAGACCTCTCCAGGAATTTAGCATTTTCTGTTAAAAAAATAAAAGCTATAACACAAATTTTTCAGATTAATATTTAAGAAATGCTTGTTGCATGTAGTTAGGGCACAGTGTAAGATTAAAAAAAAGTCATACATTTTTAAAAACTTAGTGTCATGAAACCCTAAAACACATTTTTTGAGATGTTAACATATATGAACAGGTTTATGTCTATTATTAAGGGAAAAGTGGTTTTTTTGGGGGGGAGCAATTTAGTTCTTCCGGTTCAAAAAGCAAAGTTGAATCAATGTCACAAAAATTGACGTATATGCATTAATCTGGAGTGGTGATTGGCTGCCGTGGCTGGAGAGTGCACGTTTTCAGAGCTTTTCACAGTATTATTAATGAGAATGAAGTCTTTTGATCCAGTCACTGCGCTGTATTATGCATGAGGTTGTATTGCAGGGGAGAATTAAATTCTCATGAAAGAGCTTCTGCACTGTCAGTTCACCTCTGTACACATGACCGTAACAATATTTAATATGACGATGTGGAGCGCACATAAGAGAGCACTTTCTGTGCTGTGCTCCAAGCAAAATATGAGTAAGTGATAGTTTTGAGAATGATGATGTTTCATTCTTTCTTTTTCTCTTTTGTCACATTTGGATTTGTTTCATATTTGATGAAGTTTGCAATGATTCTGCTATTTTCCAGTTTTTTTTTTTTTTTTACTGTGAAGCTGCTTTGAAATGGTCTATTTTATGAAGCGCTATAGAAATAAAAGTGACTTGACTTGTTGCTGCAGTGGTTCTATGTGATTTTATCACACTTTTGAACACATAGTTTGCATGGTATACCACTTGTTTCCTCTAATCTTTGTTTCCTCCTTGTGTTGCGCAGGCGTTTGGACAGGCCCACTCCAACCACAGGAAGGTGGCGGCTGATGGCGAGAGCCGCGAGGAGTCGCTGATCCAGGAGTCGGCGTGTAAGGAGGCGTATTACGAGCAGCGCATGCAAGAGCTGCAGGCAGAGCTGCGACAAGCACGTAACATCCTGACCAACGTCCAGTCAGAGAACGATCGGCTCGCCACCATCACTCAGGAACTCCAAGAGGTCAGTCTCCGCCTGTATTTGGATCGTTAGGACGCTCACATGCTGAGGAATACATTAAAGAAGTTAGAAGTTGGTCTGCAACAAATGATTATTTGGATAATAGATTAATCTAACGATTATTAATCGTTGATTATTTCACTGATTAATCGGTAGGCTTTGATTATTCAGCTTTTGCAATTAGTTAAAATATTGAGTTTGTTAGAAACATATTCTAACAAATAAATAAAGGTAATCACTTCAGCTTTTGAAAATGATATGTAATTACAATTATTATACAATTAACAAATAAATATAGTTGGTACACAAAATGAGATGACAGATAGAGAAACTCTCTTATTCACCATTTAATTAGCTATATGAAAAAGTAAAGGAATGACACATCATTCTGCCTAACATCTCTTTTTGTAAGACATATGGGTAAGAAACTAAATAAAGATAAAATAAAGGCAAAAATAAAGTGATAAAACGCATTATTTTTGGATTAACTATTTTATTTACAACATAATCTCTCTTAAAATACCTTGTATGGTTATGATAATCAAAACAATCCTGAGCTAGATCAAGCTTTGATCTCTGCAAACCAAACTATCACTTTAATGAAAGAATATTTTTTCACACTTATAAAAATATTTTATCAGTAGCTTTATAACAGAAAAGGTGGGGAAGTTGTGGCCTAATGGTTAGAGAGTCGGACTCATAACCCAAAGGTTGCAGGTTCGAGTCTCGTACCGGCAGGGATTGTAGGTGGGGGGAGTGAATGTACAGCCCTTGATCAAGGCACCGAACCCCCAACTGCGCCCCGGGCACCGCAGCATAAATGGCTGCCGACTGCTCTGGGTGTGTGTTCACGGTGTGTGTGTTCACTGCTGTGCACTTAGGATGGGATAAATGCAGAGCACTAATTCCTAGTATGGGTCACCATACTTGACCACATGTCACGTCACTTTTTGAAAAGCAAATTGTAATTCTAACTGAAAGCAACACTGACTCTGGTTTTTCATGTTTAATGCTGTAAAGTTTCTTGATTTAAGGCTATCGACTACATAAAGTACTATATAATAGAGCCGGGCCGATACCGATATTTGGGAGTTAAAAAAGGCCGATATCAATATATACCAGCCAATATTCTTTGTATATGTTATAGTACAGTACCAGTCAAAATGTTTGGACACTGTCCAAACATTTGACTGGTACTATATATAGAATACAGTATATACATACATTTTTTGCAATGATCACTCAAATGTGGTGATCAAACACTTATAATGACGTGACAAAGATATGTAATGATGGAGGCAGGGAATTTAACAATAAACTTTATTCAAAATGAGTCTGACATCAGTGCACTGAACAGTAAAGTTGAAGTTTATTCAACTTTAATTAAATTCCATTCAACTTTATTCCGTTGAAGTTTTTCACTTTGAAACATTCATTCACGGATTTGCGCTACTGTCTTCACACACAGACGAAACTTACTAGAGAAGTGTGACATAATTTACCTCTGTAAATAGACACTTTAATGCCCTTTGAATGTAACATGTACGTTCCCTTGGAACTGGAATCATGTGAAGTCCACTTCGCAGCGCACTTACGGTCGAATAAGACTACGCTTGAATGCTGCTGCCTGAACAAGAGACCTTCTTACTGAAGTGAAAGTGTTGACGTGTGTCACTATCTCATGAACACACTGGCAGATCTCCACCAAATTCGGGGGTTCTGTTCAGCTCGAGGAGCACCCTCGAACACCACCCTCCGCGCGTCGGTAGCCCCCTGGGATTGATTGATCGGTCGGCGCCGAACCGCAAATTTAACCGCCCGTAACTCCCGAACCCCGGGGGCTCATTCGAATGAGGGCCTCAAGACGTACACTCAATTCGCGTTCGGGAGGGTTCCTTGAGCTGAAGGGATCCCCCGAATTTGGTGCGTATCCGCTGCGCCGTTACGAAGATATGGCCGTTCAAAGTTTCAATGGTTTTCCATAGACTTAAGCTTTAAAGCGTTTCATCCAGGTCGCCAGTAGCAAACAATGGAGCTAATTACACCATTTCAAGCATTTTATCTGCGTTATATGTTCTGTAAAAAAAAATTTATATCGGCGGCATATTATATATTATAATATCGGCTAAACGATATATCGATCGGGCTCTACTATATACTGTTAACTTTACTGGAGTACTGAACTGCAGAGCTCCTGCAAACATCCACATCGCTGTAATCAGATGCTTTCTTAACTGCTGCTTTCACACCACTGTCAGTTTATGTTTATTACATAAACTGTGCAAACTTTATAGTTCAGTTTATATCTTTGAGAGGAAAGCGTGCAGCATATATTTACATATTCATCCAAACACCGCTCAGCAGCTTCAGGTTCGGCTGCGTTTGCTCTGAAGCACCCTTGCTCTTTAACACCACAATGGTGAACACTGTTAATTAATTAATTATGCTTTCATGAGGTGTGTAATGGTTCAAATTATTACCATTTTGCGTTAAAACTCCTCCTGATAGCAACCGAGTCTCTGTTAAACTTCACAGATTTATATGAAGGAGCACCAACATCCAATCAAAAAACATATGGAGTGAGTTGAAGAGGTCAAGAAATCTCCAGCAATTTCGATCTGGAGCATTTTCTGTTGGGAAGAGTGGGGAAAAACTGACACGTCAAGATGTGCTCGGTTGATAGACTCTTATAAAGGGAACAGATGTTAAAACAAGTATTAGTTAAGGGGTGTGCGATATACAGTATATCGCTTATGATCAGTGTTGGGGGTAACGCATTACAAGTAACGCGAGTTACGTAATCAGATTACTTTTTCCAAGTAACTAGTAAGTAACGCATTACTTTTTTAATTTACAAGAAAATATCTGAGTTACTTTTTCAAAAAAGTAACGCCAGTTACTTTGTTTTCCCATTTATTGACTGACAGCTCCGGTGTTGCCATGGTGACAGAAATGGGAAGTACAGAGGAATTGTGTGCGCTGTGTGAACATGATGCTACTGTAGTTCTAGACTAAATGTGAATGTGCATTAATTCATCCCACTCACAAAAAACTGATTTAGTATTCATCAAAATGAATTAAAACAGTGAAATGCAAACTCTGAATATGACGCAAACCTCCAATAATTAAATGTTAAATAACACAAATGTATCTAATCACATTTTATTAACCAATGTCTTTGCTGCTGACCTTTGATGATCCAGTTCAACCGTACTAATAAGCAAAAATTACTTTAGAGAAACTAACAATTGTGCTTCATTGTTTGTTTTTTTATTGCTGAAGAGTGTTTCTTCTCCTGCGTTCTGTACAGATGTGAATTTACTTTTGCTTCAGCCTGAGGCTTATTCATTACACTTTTTGGTGTGAAAGGGCTTTTACATTAGCTATAAATAGAACTTCTTATATTAAAAATAATCAAGCCCTGTTCATATTTAAAAAGTAACGTGAAAGTAACGCAAAAGTAATATAACGCATTACTTTCCATAAAAAGTAACTAAGTAACGTAATTAGTTACTTTTTTAGGGAGTAACGCAGTATTGTAATGCATTACTTTTAAAAGTAACTTTCCACAACACTGCTTATGATAGTTTTGTAATTGTTGTTTTAATGATATGCAAGCTGGTATTATCGACTATATCACTCACTTTGCAGAAAACAAACAAAAACACGTACTGAGAGTCCAAAAGCATTCACTGCAGGATGAAGCCTATTAGAATACAGTTAGAATGCTCTGATAATTCAAGTTATGAAAGCAAAAAATATCCCTGTAGGTTTTTTTTAATATATATTTGTAAGATATGATATAGTTGTGTAATATCACATAGCAAGAGTGCCATTTTCCTGAATGTTAGTTTGTGAGCATAATCACGAATGTGATATTGCTTTATATAACAGTTTATATAACAACAAAAAAAAAGAAGTTAATATTGAGTGAGTTACATTTTAGACACAATACTGTATGTTTTTTTTCTGTGTTGCCAATGAAAATGGTTCCAAATAAAGCCTAACATTTGTGCAGCCTGAAATGTTGCTTACACACTCGCTGAAAAAATGCAGGAAAACCTTATTTAAATCTGAACCTGTGAGCCACAAATGTATTACATTTAGTAAGTTGGCTTTACATTTATAGGGGTCGGGGGACACTGGGGGGGCCAGTCAGTTTTCCGGATGGGCAAGTGTCCCTGCCTCTGTCTACACCACTGACTGGACGTGCCATACCTTGCCCAACAAACACAAACTGTGTTAAAACTGAATGTGAGGAACGATAAAGAGTGAAACCCATTATATAATGCTGTACGAATGCACAGAGACCAGTAATGTCTAATTCACTAACAAATGACTTGTTGTGCTGACCAACCTTTATCATTATTTACTGAATTAAAAAAAAACGTAAGGACGTAATAATAATAATCTTGTGTTTTGACACTAAACCGGTATCTGATCTACAGTGTTTTTCTGCTTTACCACAGAAAAAAATGCAAATATAGGATTAAAAGGAAATTAAGAATATAAACCTTTATATTAGTAAAGTCAATGCAAAAATAAATCAATAAAAAGACAGATGGCGTGACGTGAGTGAGGATTTGGGAAAAGAAAGAGATTGTGTGTTTAATGGCACAGTCCTCTGGATGGGATTAATGAGCCAAAGGTGAAATGAAATGTGTTTTGAGCAGATGGGACAAAGACGGAGAGATAGAGAGGGAGGCGTACAGATGGAGTGATAAACAGAAGCAAGCAGGTCAAAGGATAGAAGTGTGGTTGATTAGAGCGATGCATACAACCATTCACAACCCTACACTCCGCCAAGGTGTGAGTAGAGCGTTGATTCAAAGCCTGGGGTCAGTCAGTAAGATTCTTTTCTGAAAGATATGAGTACTTTTATTCAGCAAAGATACATACAATTGATCAAAAGTGACAAGTAAACAGAAATGTCTAGTCCAAATAAATTCTATTCTTTCTATTCATCAAAGAATCCTGGAAACATATGTATCACAGTTTCTACAAAAATATTGGGCAGCACAACTGTTTTCAACATTGGTAATAATCAGAAATGTTTCTTGAGCAGCAAATCAGCTTATTTCGAATGATTTCTGAAGATCATGTGACACTGAAGACTGGAGTAATGATGCTGAAAATTCAGCTTTGATTACATTTTAACATACATTTTTAACATAAAATTTTAAATTTGTACAATATTTCACAGTATTGCTGTATTTCTGAGCAGAAAGCACGCACTGACCAGCTGCTTCTGCTGTCTTACAGAGCAGTCAGATGGTGGAGCTGCAGAGGTCTCGTCTGCACGACGACATCAAGGAGTTCAAGTTCAGAGAGGCTCGTCTGCTGCAGGACTACAGCGAACTCGAGGAGGAGAACATCACCCTGCAGAAGCATGTTTCTGTCTTAAAACAGAGCCAGGTGACATTCGGCTGCCATCCGTAATAAATATGAGTTCCATCCGTGGAGTTTCTGCTAGAGACAGTGATAATGTGGCATTAGTCACAGTAAGCTTGTGTGTCTGTGTGATCTCTTGTAGGTTGAGTTTGAGGGTCTGAAACATGAAATTCGTCGTCAGGAGGAAGATACCCAGTTTCTGAACAGCCAGTTGGAAGACGCCATCCGTCTGAAGGAGATCGCAGAGAGGCAGCTTGGGGAGGCGCTGGAAACCATCAAGACTGAGAGGGAGCAGAAGGCAAGAGATGAATTTCTGTCTTTTTTTTATGTTGTTATTATTTACAGCTATATATTGTGGGTAGTGTGACCTCTCCGTAAGATCTGCTAGAAATGAAAAACAGGTTCTATTAAAATAAATAAACACTGGGAAATTATTGAATACTGGAGGAGGAACTTTTTTCTTTGTTTCATTATCTTTCCACCATCAAACATAGAGCCCACCAGTGTAGTCTAAGTGACAAGTGAATGAGTCTTATGTATGACAAGTCTTATGAACGGGTTCATTTTACAGAATCTGTCAAAAGTATTCTTAGGCTGGTGAGACTTGTCAGGGTTTGAGTGTTAGTTTGTCACATGTTGTAACTTTTACCTCAGGAAAGCCATTCAATGACTATAAACTCGTTAGTCAACTAGAAAAAAGTGTCTAGATTTTGCAAAATGTATGCTGTATATCAGTGTTTCCCAACCGGGATGTCGAGAGCAGGGGTGCAGTGTAAAAAATCCTTTTTTAATATTTTTAAATTGCTAAAATGTTCATAAAAAGCATCTATTATATAATATCCATTTCTGATGTCGGAAATAATTCGAGATGCACCGAATTTTCGGCTGCCGAAAATTAGTTCACCGCTCAGGATTCACTTTCACGTGGTGTGACGCTCTGCGTGTTATCCGCTCTGTGTGTGTGCTCCACTCAAGTCGCTCCACTCGTATACCGTTCATGCTCATCAGAACAGCAAAGTCCACTCAAAAATGAGCAGACAGGAAACATGGATGTAGTACAGTATTGCTTCTGTTTGAAATAGCCCTACTGTGCTGTAACAAGGTGTGGTATATGAGCAAAACTTTGTGAGATAGCTATAATGGTAATTAAATCATGTTTACATATGTATAAAAGCCTACATTAAAATCTGTCATATAAATTGGTCTCTTCATTAGAAATTAGCCTACTGATTGCCACCATTGATGTACAAATTTTTTTAATAATATTAAAAATATCTGTATGACATTATATTCTGCAGTTCTTCCCTGTTGTACCGAGTATCTATACTTTTCAAATGATCACATCGAAGTTAGAAATTCAAATATTGTGACAATTAATTTTGTAGGGTGCCACAAGTTTGTTAAAATTTCCAAAGGGTGCCACGACTAAAAAAAGGTTGGGAAACACTGTTGTATATTACATATTCCTTGTATTTGCGCTTAACCTGTTGTCTTTATTATTTAATATGTTTGATTAAATCTGTAATGAAAACAAGTTTTTATTACAGACTCTTTTTTAAAATGGGTGTATTTCAACAACAAATTTGAGTAGAAACCTAGTTATATCATTAAAAAAAAGTCACTGCCTTTTGTGTAAGTTTAGATGGTTGTGTTTGGGTAAAAAATAAATTTTGCTGCATCACTAGTCAAGTCGCCTTTATTTATATAGCGCTTCATACAATAGAGATTGTTTCAAAGAAGCCTCTCGGTAATAAATTAGAAAAAGTAACTGATGCAAACTTTATATTTTGTCTCAAATATGAGGCAAATCCAAACTCTGCTGTAAAGCAGGTCTTAAAAGTCTATAGTGTCATTATTTAGCTCAAGTCAGTTCAGTGTTGATTCAGTTCAATAACTGAAAAGTTTGTCAGTTTATAACAAGTTAATTTCAGCGATCAGCGGTAGTGTCATTATTCAGTTAAGGTCAAGTTTTGTTCTCATCCAATAGTGTCAGAGCAGTCAGATTGATAATACTATTAAATATGAGATCTTAATTAATATCAAAATCTTTTAAACAATACTAAACATACATTTTGTACTAAACTCATCTAACTATCAATGTACACTGCGTAAAGTGATATATAAATAAAATGGACTTGACGAAGTGAAATGAATGTAGTATAGGCCCTATTATTGTGGGGGCCGGGATGGGGTGCTTTCATTAATGGAGTCACAAAGGAACTTGAATCATAAGTGAAATCAGGAAGAAAAAAAAAAACTTTTTTTAGGCACATTTCTAATAATTTGACTAAAGAGAATGCAAACATTGCACATTTCCATCAACAAACAACTTGTGTATGCCATTTACTTTTCTGTGTTTGGATGTTTTTGGTTGACATGAGGAAAACAGTCCTATTTATATTTAAGGACTTGACATGAGGGTGGTTGAAACCACCAAGAACTCCTCCGTAGTTGCTTAGTAACATGCTAAAACCCACTCAAAAAAACAGAGAAACCAAAGATCAACCACCCACAGCACAAGCACCATGGCAGTGAGTTTTTGCAATTTCTTCAGAAAGTGTTTGTTTCAGATGAAAGCCTGCTGTAGGCGTCTGCCAGTCCACCCTGAGGTCTGATTTAATGATATTTGTTGGGCTCCATTAATCCAGGCCGCCTTAAGAAAGGAGTTGTCGCAGTACATGACCATCGGAGACTCGATGTACCACAGTCCTTTGAGCATCTCCCTCGATGGGCTGAAGTTCAGCGACGACACCTCAATCGAGCCCAACAACGACGAACCCCTCCACATCTATGAGAATGGCTTTGACAAGATCGACAACAACGACAACCGTGTTTCCACTCCCAAAAAAGGAGAGCGGTTCCACCCTTCCTCCAGCCTCGTGGACAATCTGCTGAATGAGCTCAACATCTCAGAGATCCAGAAGCTCAAACAACAGCTGCTGCAGGTGAGATAAGCTGTTTGCCATATTCACTGTACAGGTTCAGTCAGGCACCGTCATTGACAGCCAAGTTAGGCTACGATATCTGCTGTTGACTATGCCAAAAAATATGGCAAACCCAGAGGCACAAATGTGGCGTCACAATACAGTGATTCTGCGATAATCGATATATTGCTAGACAATCCTATAACGATAGGCTACATCACGATATCTGTCTAACTATGAAAACAAAATGCCTGTGAAAAGGTTAAGTGCAAGTCCAGAAAACAGTACAAAAGTTCTGTAAATCAAATTTAACATGCTAAGGAAATTAATCATTTTATTCTTGGAATGATTAAAAGCTTACACTTTTCTTTGTGTGTAAACCAATACATTTAACTGCTTATCAACTTTATGTATAGCCTATATATACTGTATAAACCTGGTACATTTCAAAATTTACCTGCAGTGTTTTCTCAACCTTTCCTGTCCTCTCATCATAAAAACGGAGCCCCGCACACATGACATGCAGGGAAAAAATAGCCGTTCACATCGCCTCTTCTGCATGCTCAGGTTCGTTATTTCAAATGCAGACGCACGGCAAGCACACACAATGCACACTTCTGCGCCGCATTACGGCACTGACGAGGTTTTGTTTCGTCACCCATGCCATAGGTGCAGATTTATGTTTCTGCCGGTCGGTGCCCACTGCATAACGCGCACTTGCAATATCTGAGAGCGAGGGAGAGCATCCAGTTTTGTTGACATAAAACTGGACGCGCCGGCGGCACTATCTCACTTATAGTTAGTGAGGGAAATCCACCTGCTATCCAAGCGGAGAGGTTAGGCTACTCATGGACTGAATATGCGCTCTGCAGTAATAACGCGATCAGTGCCTATGGTCCACGCTGATAGCTGTTCTGGGGCAGTTCTTTAGTTCTCATTTCCATAAACGTATATATAGCAGTAGAGCTAATACAGTGGCTGGAAATCGGTTTATCCTTCGGTTCCTCATGCTTCCACATCTTCATAGAGAGCACGGTTCATGGTTGCTCAGAGCGCTTTGGAAAGAAGGTGGAAATCGTGCGGCCGCGATTTCCACGCATTTTTAGACGCTGGGAGCAGGGAAATCTATATAGAGCGCCTTATTGTAATAATTAGAATATCGATATTTGGCGCCAGATATCGATTCTTGTATCGCATGGAGAAGGACAATGATATATCGCCATATCGATATATTGTCCCACCCCTAGTAATTACAATATTTATACAATTAACAAATAAATAAATTTGGCACACAAAGTGAGATGACAGATAGAGAAACTCTCTTATTCACCATTTAATTAGCTATATGAAAAAGAAACTGAATGACACATTTTTCCTTTTCATATGGGTAAGAAACAAAATAAAGGTAAGTGAAAAGACTTTATTGTACCTTCATTTTTGGATAAACAATTTTATTCACATCATAGTCTCTCTTAAAATACCTTGTATGGTTATGATAATCAAAACAGTCCTGAGCTAGATCAAGCTTTGATCTCTGCAAACCAAACTATCACTTTAAAGGGGAGATAACACACACAGTTTCACCCAATCTCATGTTAAACTTGAGTACCTATAGAGTAGTACTGCATCCATCATATCTCCAAAAAGTCTTTAGTTTTATCAGATTTATAAAATAAAGATACAACTTTACGATTCTCTCCGGAAAAAGCAAGCTCCTGGAGGTGTGCAGTGGGCGGAGCTAAAGAGTGACGAGCACTTGGGCGCCGAATGCCAACAAAACAGACATTTGATGCCGTTTCACTTACCGTCTGCAGTTCTGAATCATGACGGTGATCTTTTATATTTGGGACCGCTCTATCTTTCAGTATCAAACGATGTGCAAATCCAGCGATGAATCTGGGCCTTGTTTATAAAACGTTCGTCAACAAACACACTTGTGAAGCATCCATTTTTGTTGACATAAAACTGGACGCGCGCGCCGCACTATCTCACTTATAGTTAGTGAGGGAAATCCACCTGCTATCCAAGCGGAGAGGTTAGGCTACTCATGGACTGAATATGCGCTCTGCAGTAATAACGCGATCAGTGCCTATGGTCCACGCTGATAGCTGTTCTGGGGCAGTTCTTTAGTTCTCATTTCCATAAACGTATATATAGCAGTAGAGCTAATACAGTGGCTGGAAATCGGTTTATCCTTCGGTTCCTCATGCTTCCACATCTTCATAGAGAGCACGGTTCATGGTTGCTCAGAGCGCTTTGGAAAGAAGGTGGAAATCGTGCGGCCGCGATTTCCACGCATTTTTAGACGCTGGGAGCAGGGAAATCTATATAGAGCGCCTTATTGTAATAATTAGAATATCGATATTTGGCGCCAGATATCGATTCTTGTATCGCATGGAGAAGGACAATGATATATCGCCATATCGATATATTGTCCCACCCCTAGTAATTACAATATTTATACAATTAACAAATAAATAAATTTGGCACACAAAGTGAGATGACAGATAGAGAAACTCTCTTATTCACCATTTAATTAGCTATATGAAAAAGAAACTGAATGACACATTTTTCCTTTTCATATGGGTAAGAAACAAAATAAAGGTAAGTGAAAAGACTTTATTGTACCTTCATTTTTGGATAAACAATTTTATTCACATCATAGTCTCTCTTAAAATACCTTGTATGGTTATGATAATCAAAACAGTCCTGAGCTAGATCAAGCTTTGATCTCTGCAAACCAAACTATCACTTTAAAGGGGAGATAACACACACAGTTTCACCCAATCTCATGTTAAACTTGAGTACCTATAGAGTAGTACTGCATCCATCATATCTCCAAAAAGTCTTTAGTTTTATCAGATTTATAAAATAAAGATACAACTTTACGATTCTCTCCGGAAAAAGCAAGCTCCTGGAGGTGTGCAGTGGGCGGAGCTAAAGAGTGACGAGCACTTGGGCGCCGAATGCCAACAAAACAGACAGACGAGGTTTTGTTTCGTCACCCATGCCATAGGTGCAGATTTATGTTTCTGCCGGTCGGTGCCCACTGCATAACGCGCACTTGCAATATCTGAGAGCGAGGGAGAGCATCCAGTTTTGTTGACATAAAACTGGACGCGCCGGCGGCACTATCTCACTTATAGTGAGGGAAATCCACCTGCTATCCAAGCGGAGAGGTTAGGCTACTCATGGACTGAATATGCGCTCTGCAGTAATAACGCGATCAGTGCCTATGGTCCACGCTGATAGCTGTTCTGGGGCAGTTCTTTAGTTCTCATTTCCATAAACGTATATATAGCAGTAGAGCTAATACAGTGGCTGGAAATCGGTTTATCCTTCGGTTCCTCATGCTTCCACATCTTCATAGAGAGCACGGTTCATGGTTGCTCAGAGCGCTTTGGAAAGAAGGTGGAAATCGTGCGGCCGCGATTTCCACGCATTTTTAGACGCTGGGAGCAGGGAAATCTATATAGAGCGCCTTATTGTAATAATTAGAATATCGATATTTGGCGCCAGATATCGATTCTTGTATCGCATGGAGAAGGACAATGATATATCGCCATATCGATATATTGTCCCACCCCTAGTAATTACAATATTTATACAATTAACAAATAAATAAATTTGGCACACAAAGTGAGATGACAGATAGAGAAACTCTCTTATTCACCATTTAATTAGCTATATGAAAAAGAAACTGAATGACACATTTTTCCTTTTCATATGGGTAAGAAACAAAATAAAGGTAAGTGAAAAGACTTTATTGTACCTTCATTTTTGGATAAACAATTTTATTCACATCATAGTCTCTCTTAAAATACCTTGTATGGTTATGATAATCAAAACAGTCCTGAGCTAGATCAAGCTTTGATCTCTGCAAACCAAACTATCACTTTAAAGGGGAGATAACACACACAGTTTCACCCAATCTCATGTTAAACTTGAGTACCTATAGAGTAGTACTGCATCCATCATATCTCCAAAAAGTCTTTAGTTTTATCAGATTTATAAAATAAAGATACAACTTTACGATTCTCTCCGGAAAAAGCAAGCTCCTGGAGGTGTGCAGTGGGCGGAGCTAAAGAGTGACGAGCACTTGGGCGCCGAATGCCAACAAAACAGACATTTGATGCCGTTTCACTTACCGTCTGCAGTTCTGAATCATGACGGTGATCTTTTATATTTGGGACCGCTCTATCTTTCAGTATCAAACGATGTGCAAATCCAGCGATGAATCTGGGCCTTGTTTATAAAACGTTCGTCAACAAACACACTTGTGAAACACGTTGCTGCCTCGGAAAAACCAACTGCATCCACTGTTTACATCACGCTGGGTTCTTTAGGAAGCTGAACAAAGTTATCTTTCCCTTAAAACCAAAAACACACTTCTTTGGATTGGAGACAATCTTCCCGAGCAAGTCCCGTGCAGCCTGCCGCCGGATGAAGCGCGTTGATGGCCGCGATCTCGCTCTTGCTCTGGTCGATGTGTGCGCGGGTGCGCACTTCCGGGAGAAATGCCCATACAAGGAGTTCCACCGTACTGCATCCTTCATATCTCCAAAAAGTCTTTAGTTTTATCAGATTTATAAAATAAAGATACAACTTTACGATTCTCTCCGGAAAAAGCAAGCTCCTGGAGGTGTGCAGTGGGCGGAGCTAAAGAGTGACGAGCACTTGGGCGCCGAATGCCAACAAAACAGACATTTGATGCCGTTTCACTTACCGTCTGCAGTTCTGAATCATGACGGTGATCTTTTATATTTGGGACCGCTCTATCTTTCAGTATCAAACGATGTGCAAATCCAGCGATGAATCTGGGCCTTGTTTATAAAACGTTCGTCAACAAACACACTTGTGAAACACGTTGCTGCCTCGGAAAAACCAACTGCATCCACTGTTTACATCACGCTGGGTTCTTTAGGAAGCTGAACAAAGTTATCTTTCCCTTAAAACCAAAAACACACTTCTTTGGATTGGAGACAATCTTCCCGAGCAAGTCCCGTGCAGCCTGCCGCCGGATGAAGCGCGTTGATGGCCGCGATCTCGCTCTTGCTCTGGTCGATGTGTGCGCGGGTGCGCACTTCCGGGAGAAATGCCCATACAAGGAGTTCCACCCTCGTTTACGTCATGAAGAGCCACGATCGACAAAAAACTCTCTGAAACTTGTACAAACCTGGAATTTTTTGGCACAGAAATACTCCAAATAGTTTTTTGAAACTTTGTCCATGCTTAGCATGAGAATCCAACTCTTTAACAGTGTAAACAACTCTGAATGCATGAAACAGCATTGTAACCCCCCCTTTAATGAAATCATATTTTTTCCCGCTAATAAAAAGATTTTATCGTTAGCTATCTCCACACTGGAGAGGTGTTTTATAACAGAAAAGCAAGTTGTAATTCTAACTGAAAGCAACACTTACTCTGGTTTTTCATGTTTAATACTGTAAAGCTGCTTGATTTAAGGCAATCAACTACATAAAGTACTATATAAATAAACGTGAAGTGACTGGACTTTACTAAAGTACTGAACTGCAGAGCTCCGGCAAACATCCACATCGCTGTAATCAGATACTTAACTGGTGCTTTCTCACCGCTGTCAGTTTATGTTGTGTTTTTGTATTGAGAGGAAAGCGTGCAGTATATATTTACATATTCACGTTTGCTCTGAAGCGCTGTGTGTGCCGTTTTCTCTTGAATTGCATCCAGGAGGGCTGAATTACAGTCTTGCTCTACAGCGCCACACTGGTCAAACCACATTATTGCAGCATATGAGGTCAAACAACTGCTCGACAACAAAAATATTTAGTAGGGATACACGATATTATCGGACCGATATCGGAATCGCCCGATAATGGCTTTAAATCTAAATATCGGCATCGGCCCCATATGAAAAATTATAGACAGGTCAGATCTTGAACATGAACAAATATTAAATCTTAAAATAATAAGGATACCACAGCATCTTTCTGGAAAAAAAATACAGCGATTGATATATATATATATATATATATATATATATATATATATATAGTTGAAGAAATGCCTTGGATTCTTCTTTTTTTTTTTTTATAGTTGCTTCAAACCCAACCAAAGAGCACCTTCTGGGATTAGAAGGTCCTTAATCATCAAGTAGCGCTTCAAGATGTCTCTTACGATCTATTCAATATAATGCGTTTATAATTTCCTCACAGGAGAGACTTGGTGTTGTTTCAAACAAAAGGAAATATATTGGCATCGGCTATCAGCCAAAATGAGTTGAAATATATCGGATATCGGCAAAAATCCAATATCGTGCATCCCTAATATTTAGTGACAATTTTTTTTTTATTGTTAATGTTTGCGATAAAGTCGACTAATCATTTCAGCCCTAATGCCAAGTCGGTAAGTTGCACAGTCTGTAGTTCTGTGTTTGATTGGCTGACAGCTGGACTGTTTAAATCCTATTAGTGGAAGTTGCATTGAGCGCCCGCCTCATCTGACACAATGAGCTGTCAGTTCAGCCATCTGTCAAGAAGTCAGATTAGAAACTCTGACCTCTTACGAGTTGTCTTCATGCATACTGCGTTGTCCAGTGGCGATGTCCACTCCATTCACCAAAACCATAGGAGCAATATGAGAGCGCTGTTGCAGCCAGCAGCACCTTCTAGCCATTATGGTAGTCAGACCCTCATGACCTTTGAACTGCTATTGATCAACCAAGAAATCCATTCCAGACACAATGAAAGAGCAACTGAAACAACATGATTTTCCATGCGAACATCTCTAGTGAACTCAAACGTCTGTGACCGGTAGTGACGGCTTCTATTTTTGCTTACATTTTTCATTACAACAGATTTTTTTTAGTAACATGAAATCCCATTAAAAAAATCAACCTCCATTTGAGGATTAAGTTACAATGAAAGACTCATGCTTTGAGAATGTGAAATCAGACATTTTGTGCAAAAGGGTTTACATTGTTAATGTCACAGATGTGACCCTGGAGCACAAAAGCAGTCTTAAGTCGCTGGGGTATATTTGTAGCAATTGCCAACAATACATTGTATGGGTCAAAATTATAGATTTTTCTTCTATGCCAAAAATCATTAGGATATTAAGTAAAGATCATGTTCCATGAAGATACTTTCAATTTCTATAAATAAATATTTAATAAAATATATCAGAAATTAATTTTTGATTAGTAATATGCATTGCTAAGATCTTCATTTGGACAACTTTAAAGGACATTTTCTCAATATTTAGATTTTTTTGCACCCTCAGATTCCAGATTTTCAAATAGTTATCTCAGCCAAATATTGTCCGATCCTAACAAACCATACATCAATGGAAAGCTTCTTTATTCAGCTTTCAGATAATGTATTAATCTCAAATGACCCTTATGACTGGATTTGTGGTCCAGGGTCAAAAATGAGCTTATTTCAGCTTAGAAATCACAGAAGTTTAAAAGTGAACAATCGCTGTTTCTTTTTACGTCATAACGTAAAAAACGAGTTGAGTCCCAAGATTTTAATATGGTCTCAGACACAAAGGAAAAAAGCACCATTAGGTTTTTGTATTACAGTCGCACTGTAACTGACATGAACAAAACAATTAAACCGTTAACCGCAAACTACAGTACCGAGCCAGAAATTCATATGGGTGGACTCCCATCTCAACAGCCACATTTTTGGGTCGTGTCAGTACAGGTTAACACAGATCACACACTGCTGCTCGTTTCAGCAAGTCCTGTAATTAATGTGTAGAGCGAATGTGCTTTTAAAGGAGGTTCTGCTTTTACTGAATTCTAAGTGAAGGAGACTGCAGATTTTCAGCCAGTTTCTGCAAGTCTTAAAAACTTCTTAATTTGCCCTTCCACAAGCGCAGATTATATGAGCAGAAAGTCTTCAAAGTCATGGCATTAATTGTTGCATACGAGCCAAAAAAAATAATATCTTGCTTGCAGTACAAATACCTAAACATCCTTAAATCATGATACATTTAGTACAAAATGTAGAAATGACATCTGAGAAACTGAACAAAGTAAGTTTATACTTAAAAGTAATTTTCATACCACATTGATAGATATTTGCTCTTAAGTTGATATTTCTGAGTGCATTGGCAGATATGCGTTCTTGTTTTAATCATAAGTTATTCAAACATTAACTTTTTTTTTTCTTTTTTTTTTACAATTAATTACAGGGTAATGGGGATCTTTAAACAAATCGTTAAATTTTCTTTACTTGGTCTTAAAAGGTATTTAAAAAGTAGAAAGCCTTGAGAATAAACCATGCATTTGTCCTGCAATACCTAGTACAATAACTCAAAACTCACTGAAATTATTTTCCCCTGGTGTGTTTTTTGAAGTATTATTATAATACTAAATAATATTCATCCCATCCAAAGAGAGATTCATCACATTTATCCAATTCCACAGTATCTTTCCAGGTGATTACGGTGTAGAAGTCAGGCTTTAGCGTAGGGCTGGGCGATATAGCTAAACAATGTATCAACGATATAATGTTTCATATTGTTCGGTATTGATAATTATTGACATTTTTTATAACCTTTTTTAAAACAAAGAACAATCTAATTTTTTTTTAATTTAACCACTATTTTTAAATTAACCCAATTTATTGAGATAAACAACACATATTTTTTTGTTTTAACAGTCAAATGCACAATAAAAATTAAACAAATCTACTTTCTAATGTTTTATATGCAGAATAAATAGGTTAAACTTTTGTCTTGTCTCCCGATGCCACAGGAGGGCGCAATGAGCAAAATAATGCAGCGCATTTAAATTGTCAACGCAAGGAAATAACTGTCTGTAAAAAAAGTGCATTACATCTAAATTAACTAATAAAAATCTAATATAATTTATTTAATTGCATAAACAATTATGAACAAAACAGCATCATGTATTTATGCATTGCTTAATACAAAGAGCCGAATCGCCATTCACACAGATTGCATTTAAAATCACTTGTATGATCACCGCATCTCGTGCTCCACTGATGACGCTCCCTGATGCCCACCTAACATTCAAATGCAAATGTTTATTTTAAATTTGACTAATATTCATTCTTTATTCACAATCTCCTCATCGCAGGCAGGCACAGCACTCATTTCAGCATGTGTTCTTGTTTGTGTGTGCTGTCTGTGTCACTCATAGCACGTGCCTATATCGTGCACTATAATATATAAAAAAAATGTATATCGTTATCGAAGAAGGTGTACCGTCGATAAATATCGATACCGTTTTATTGCCCAGGCCTACTTTAGCGTATACTTTTGACCCTGCCAGTCAATGCTGCATCAATGCGACCTATATGAAATCAGAATGGACAGCATTAGTGTGGGATCAAACAGACTGTGTGGTGCTAATGAAAGCGATTCACGTCGCGTGTGTGTTTGTCTGTTACTCAGGTGGAGCGGGAGAAGGTGACGCTGCTGTCGACCCTGCAGGAGTCTCAGAAGCAGCTGGAGCAGGCTCACGGAGCGCTATCTGAGCAGCATGAGAAGGTCAGCCGTCTCACCGAGAACCTCAACGCCGTCCGCAAACTCCAGGCCAGCAAAGAGCGCCAGTCCGCTCTGGACAACGAGAAGGATCGCGACAGCCATGAGGACAGTGAATACTATGAGGTGGACATCAACGGCCCCGAGATCCTGGAGTGCAAGTACAAGGTATAGAAATATACGTTTTTTTATCTGTGGAACAAGACACAAAGAAAAAAAATCTTAATCTAAAATGGTGAACCAGTCGATAAATATATTTTCATTCAACACCAAAAAAAAACATTAAAAATGTACTATTTAGTGTGCTATGTATTTTGTTCTTATTTTGAGCACAAGGCTGAAAGAAAAGAGCACTTTGAACTTTGATTGGAGAGTTGTTAGTAGAGGTCGACCGATATATCGGTCGGCCGATATTTGTCATTTTTTAATATATCGGCCATCGGCTGACCCTGACCTCTAAACATCGGCATCGGCATCGGTTATAGAAAAACCCATATCGGTCGATCTCTAGTTGTTAGCCTAAAATATTCCACAAACATTCACACATTTGCCTTATAAAGTGCACAGTTTATCTCTATCAATATTCTTTTGTTTCTGTTCTGCATTATTGACATTTGTATACGACACCAGACAAACAGATTTCTTCAGCTCTTAACTCAAATCACAAAACATCAATTCTGTATTTCTCAAAATAAGTCAAATGTCCAGAGAAATGCAAACACTGAACTTTAATTAATAGTAATCCATTAAATAATACAGCTAGTGCTGTCAAACGATTAATCGCATCCAAAATAAACATTTTTGTTTGCATAATATGTGTGTATTGTGTATATTTATTATGCATATTTACCGTAAATACACACATATACAGCATATATTTTGAAAATATTTACGTTTATATTTTAATTCATATAATTTATATCATACATAAATATATTTAATATACAAATATAACATATTTTTCTTAAATATATACATGCATGTGTGTGTATTTATATATACATAATAAATATACACTGCACACACATATATTATGTAAACAAAAACTTTTATTATATATTTAATCCAAAATAAGTTTTGTCCATTTTGTCCATTTAAGTCCATTAAGTTCATTACACTTAATGGACTTAATCTCACTGTATTTGCCAGTGCTGATCTTCAGTGATTAAATTCCACCATGAAAATGTCTGTCTTTCTTTCTTTTTGGAAAAAACAGTGACTTGCGTAACCGTTTCCATGAGTTGTATTCCTTCAGACCAGTGAATATTGGTTTTGTTGATGTTTACTGTTAAAAATCTTAACATCAAACTCTATTGGAATCATTTGTGAGTGCGAGTTGATTCTCCTGTGAATTTTACGTCGGCAGTGCTATTAGTATGTGGAAATATGGCCATGTAGAAATGCATTTCAAATCTGTCATTTTTGTTTTTTTAGCTTCCATTTTAATTTAGGATACTGCCTTAAAAGGTTCCTTCCTTTTTAGACAGTGAAGCATTTCACTAGTTCACAGTTCAACAGTGACGTCCCTATACTATGTGTAGTTCAAATCTATTAACACAATTATTGACATATTGCTTGGGACTTACTGATATAAAAATTATAATTAAACTTAATTTTAGAGTACTACTTGCAAAAGTGCACATTTCTTAATATTAAGCTTAAAATGTGTTTTAATGTTACTATTGATGAGGATTGTGTGATCTTTGAATAATAAAGGTCTTTAAATGTAAGATATTTCAAGTGTACCTAAAGTATACCTGCAGTAGTTCCACTAAGTACGAAATTAGTTGTTCCCATTTAGCAGACTTTAAGTATTGCAGGGTATTTTTATTAAGTACAAATATGAATGCATTTGTAGTATACTTAGCACAAAATAAATGTATTTCAAATACATTTTAGTGTATTTTTCACTAGGGGTCACGTGCTGATTTGTTTGATGCCACAGGTTGCTGTGTCTGAGGCGAGTCAACTGAAGGAGGAGCTCAAAACGTTAAAGGCAGAACATTCAGCCTGTCAATCTCAGTATAAGGAGGAGCGGGCGCAGCTGGAGAGCCAGGTTGCATCTTTAAGCACACAATTCACTTCTCTGGAGCGCAGCAGCAGAGCCGACCGTGAGCAGCTGGCGTGGCTGGAGAAAGAGCTCCGTCAAGCCAGCGAAGTGGCAGGCGAATCCCAGGGCAGCCTTAACATCGCACAAGATGAGCTTGCCACCTTCAGCGAGGAGCTAGCCAACCTCTACCATCACGTATGCATGTGCAACAACGAAACGCCGAACCGCATCATGCTCGACTACTACCGCGAAGGTAAGGCTGGCGTTAATGGCACACAGACCACAGGCTGGGGCAGCCCTGACAGTCGCGGACGCCGCTCTCCCATCCTGCTGACCCGTGGCCTCTTCCCCAGCGACGGAGCTTCGTCTCCGGTCTCCTCCATCCCGTCCCCGGTGCCTGATCCCCGCAAAGAGCCCATGAACATCTATAACCTGGTGGCTATCATCCGTGACCAGATCAGACACCTGCAGCTAGCGGTGGACCGCACCACCGAGCTCTCGCGCCAGCGCATGGCTTCCCTGGAGCTGGGTCTCGGGGCAGACCGAGACCAGGAGGCCAGCGTGGAGGAGATCCTCAAACTCAAATCACTCCTCAGCACCAAGAGGGAGCAGATAGCCACGCTGAGGACCGTCCTGAAGGCCAACAAACAGGTCAGCGTTTCCCTCTCATCGCTACACTGATACACAGGTGCATTACAGCAGTGGGTCTTAACTAGTGTTTCTTCATCATGACTGTCTTTGTATTGATTCAAAATGACACCAGGGACTCCAGAGTCATGTTTTGTGTTTGACTCTTTGAAGAAGCTGTCTGACTTTAGACTACCTGAGTCAAATGTGGGGTTTTTTAAGGAACTAAAAGATAAAGAGCTGTCAAACACAGCAAATCGTTCCTGTTGTTTCTCAAATTCAAGGACAACCTTCTGCTGTTTTGATTCCTTCAAAAAAATTCTACTGTTGCTATCTCGGCGGAAGCAATTGAAAATGTGTCTAAACATGTCTGTGATTTTTGTTTTAGCATATGGATGGGTGATATCATAAGTGTCAAATCGACCGAGATTGTTTTTATATGAGGTACAACTTTCAGTGGACAGTACTATTTAAAGTTATTAACACATTAGAGTGATTAATAAACATGTATGAATAAAAAATATAAAATCATCACATAGTTGACAGTAATATAAAGAGTTATTAAAAGCGGATTTGTGTTACTTTTGTGCGCTTTTTTCCGTGAAAAACGCTCACCAAATCGTCTCTTTTCGAGAATTAAAGGGGTCATATGATGTTGCTGAAAAGAACATTATTTCTGTCAGTGTTGGGGAAAGTTACTTTTAAAAATAATGCATTACAATTATGGGTGGAACAATAAATCGATTCGTGGATCAATTCTGCGTTTTTCCGAATGCATCACAATTCTCTCTTAAATCGATTCTGAGCTGAGTTTTTAACAGCAGAGGTGAATCGCAGTGCATTCGCTAAATTGCAGAATCGATCCACAAATTGATTTATCGTTCCACCCCTAATCACAATATTACTTTACTTAGTTATTTTTTTATGGAAAGTAATGCATTACATAAATTTTGCATTATTTCCAGCGTTACTTGCTGTTTTTTAATAAGAAAAAAACCCCCAAAAGTTATATTTTTGGCAACTGTAAAGGCCCTTTCAGTTATTAAGTTAGTAAGCCTCCGAAGGAAGAAAGTGCCTCTGCCTATATATCACTGCCGATTTCTCTCAACTGTCAGTGAAGTACGCATTACTTATTTGAAAACTAACTCAGATATTTTGTTGTAAATTTAAACATAATGTTACTTTACTAGTTAATTAAAAAGTAATCTGATTACGTAACTATATCAACTTATAATGCGTTACCCCCAACACTGGCAACTTCTGTATAAGGCATGAAGACATTAAGACATTATTAACATTAACAAGCTGCTAATTGCCCGTGTGTTTGTTGCTGTTTTTCAGACCGCTGAGGTGGCGCTGGCCAACCTGAAGAGCAAATATGAGAACGAAAAGGCCATGGTGACTGAAACCATGATGAAGCTTCGCAACGAGCTCAAAGCCCTAAAAGAGGACGCAGCCACTTTCTCCTCACTCAGGGCCATGTTTGCCACGCGGTATGAGCTCCTACAGATCTATGAAAACACACATTAGCAACAGTTTATTTGGCCTTATGACACTCTCCTGTATTTCCTTCTCTGTTCTCATACAGAAGTTTAGAGCACAGTTTGATAGATGGAGCACCTGGACCTGATTTTTGTCTGGTGCCTATAAAATGAAAAATATAAGGACAGAAACTAATAACAATCATGTTTTCATTGTAGTGCAGTTGCCAATAACATTTCATATGTTGTCTTCAACAGTAAAGCACTGAGTTGGGGCGCAGATATAAATTAACATTAACATCATCTCTCCTTTCTTACATTCAGAGATTATTAGTGCAGAACAGATTATACACCGAAGAAAAGAAAAACTAAAATCTTGGTCTTTAATTCACACAAATCTAGGCTCTACAGATTTTATTTTTACTTTGTATTTGCCATTGTGAATACCAGTGTTTTTACAGTTTGTAGATCATAGACGTGTCTTACTACTTTAGATATAATTGTTATTCAGACTGTTTAGCTTCCAAAAAACATTAGTTTTAATGTAATCTGGACTGAGAAAATATAAAGCGGCTTGAGTCCACTTTAAAGTCCACAACCCGTTCAATGCAAAGACTTCTTTTTTTATTTTTTATTTTATTCTGTTCGATTTGGTCACTGAAAATGTTGCCCTCGATCAGAAAATGTGCACCTGATAAATGTAACTTTAAAATATACAAAACTTTCTTCCGGGATCATGCTCCTGCACACATATTCTCACAAAATTTTGTGGGAAACACTGTTGAGATGGTTTGTAACAAGTAAATGTGCGAAAAGCAAACTCTGGCTGTCTGTTTTCCATGTAGGTCATAGGGACCCTTCCTGTCTAAGTTGGTAGTTTTTGACCAGATTAAGATAAAAAGGTTTGTCTTGTGAGAACAGACTCCCAGTGATTGGGACCAGTAAATCCAGTGTCTCAGCTGCAGGTATGGATCAGAGTAAATCTACAGTTAAGTCTTTCCAGACAGACTGTAAGCTGTGACAGCATATGGTGCCCAATCAGACTCTCCTGACACGTGAACACCATCAATGACTTCTCTGTGCTTAACGTGTTTCAGGGAGGAACGGCATACATGTGTGAAATTGTTTCTCTCATCCTTCCTCAAACAGGGCTCGAAATTAATTTTTTTTTACTTGGTAGCACTTTTAAAAAGTTTGGAGCACCAGCAAAAATTTAGGAGCACCCACCAAAAATTAATGAGCACCACAACTACAAATTATATATTAATATATTTCATCTTTACATTCTTAACTTTAATGCAGATTTTAGATTGGTTAAAGTGCCCCTATTATGTATTTTTGAAAATGACCTTTCATGCAGTGTGTAACACAGCTCTAAGTGAATGAAAACATCCTGCAAAGTTTTAAATCTGAAAGTGCACCGTGTATAAAGTTATTGTCTCTCAAAAGAAAAAGTCGACTCCTTTTCATCCGGCCGCAACCATAAACAATAGCATATTGCCCGCCCACTTGTTGGTCTTTTGGCATTGGTCTGAATGAAAATGCAAATTCATTCTTTGCCACTAGGTGCTGCTTTTAGAGCGGTAAAAATAGCGGTTTCCCCGGTAACGCTGTACACAAAGCACACTGTGCTCACAAACGCTGCTTTATCAGGCATTACAGGTGTATGCTGAAAAGAAAATGAGGCAATCGGACCAATCACCGCATATTAGCGTCACGCAAAGGAGGGGTTTGGAAAAATTAATCGTTGAGCGAATCGTTTGGGAGTCGTTGAGCAAGTAAGGTAAAAATAAATGCATATTATAAGACAATGAAAGTGTTTTTTGACCTTGCATGCATGTCAACCTGTTGTTAGGGACTCCCAAAACCAAAATATGAACCTTTCATCGCCAATAATAGGGGCACTTTAATATTAGTTGTCAATCACCTAGTCACGCTGTCAGGTGACAGGTAGCTAACTACCGCGGGAGATGCAAAGGGCTGAAGAAGAGAGAAAATTAAAAGAAACACTGACAAATTTCTGAGTTTGGTTAAACACACAGAGAGAGAGAGCTCCTATTTGGCGAGGGTTAGGATGGTGTATGCGGTGTTAAATTTTACATTCAGCTCTGCCAATTGCGCGGAACGGCTGGCAGCTAGGGCTGTGCGATATTGACAAAAAATTATATCTCGCTATATTTAATCGATAACGATAATTAGACAATATTTTGCTGAGAGTGTTTTCTTGTGTTATTGTGCTGGTAGTCTTAAGGACTATACTGTGGACAGCCGACTTTGATATTCTTCATATTCTGTGTGGTGGTCAGTTCACAGCAGTGATAGAAATTAATCTTTTCCAATAAGTTTAAATAGATTTTTACCTTTTAGTCGACGAGTCGCCACTGGTGGACAGGGCCTAAATGCACATGCGCACTAGTCTAACCTACTAGACTTCATCACGTGCACTCTCTGTAGCGGTTTTGTTTGGTTTTTGCAATATACTCGATAATGTCAAATCGCACATGGTTAAAACAACTATTACAATGTTATCGCAGACCTCTACGTGAGCATCCTGAAGACCTTAGCGATTGAACTTGATGATCCTGAACATTTTGCCACACACTTGTCCCTGCATTTCTTGTGTTTGGCACTCTCTCCGTGTTTAACCAAGCTCTACGAGCTTAAAATGTGTAGATTTGGTGGCGAATGCTGTTAGTGTTACCCTTAAAGTGGCTTTAAAGTGAATGCAGTGCATAGAGCACAGTGCATTTTCATAGCGGAGCCACTCGAAGTCTTTCAGCCATTCTCTCCGAAGACTGTGCGCCGCCTTTTCGGCTGGTGAACCAACATTCACCACATGCTCACTATCACCAGCACTATTATTTGTAACTTTAGGTGGTTCACAAAAGAAATCTGTCAGTGTTCTTTTCATTTTCTCTCTTCTTCAGCCCTTTGCATTAGCTCCCTGTCACCTGACAACGGAAAGCAGTGACTGAGTGATTGACAGCTAACATTAACCAATCTACAATCTGCATTAAAGTTAAGAATGTAATCAAAAATCCATGTTTTAAGATCGATACATATGCATCGTCAGGGTTTGTAATCGATGCATCGAGAAAACAAGTGAATCGTTACACCCCTACTTTAAAGTGAATGCAGTGCATAGAGCACATTGCATTTTCATAGCGGAGCCACTCGAAGTCTTTCAACCATTCTCTCCGAAGACTGTGCGCCGCCTTTTCGGCTGGTGAACCAACATTCACCACATGCTCGCTATCACCAGCACTATTATTTGTAACTTTAGGTGGTTCACAAAAGAAATCTGTCAGTGTTCTTTTCATTTTCTCTCTTCTTCAGCCCTTTGCATTAGCTCCCTGTCACCTGACAACGGAAAGCAGTGACTGAGTGATTGACAGCTAACATTAACCAATCTACAATCTGCATTAAAGTTAAGAATGTAAAGATGATGTTATGTAACGTTTGATAGAACGGCAGACCGGTCACCGTATCAGCACACAGAAGGCACATAACTGTGAATGTTTTTAGAGAAATGAAAACAGGTCGCACTACAACAATCATATGCACTCAATATATTTTGAGGTCGCACAGATTAAATTATGGGAGTATATGTGACCAAAATGGTCGCAATTTCGAGCCTTGCTCAAACGTGATATATAGAACATTGTCAAGCTCTCTCTCTTTCTCTTGCTCCCTCTATTTATATATAGATTTTATATGTTCTGTATATCACTTTTCCTTGTGATATACTTGATATAGATGTGATATACTGTTGCTGTAAAAAAATGCACTTAATTGTCACTGTACAAAAAATTTTAATGGTCCTAAAAATAGGCTTCTTTTCTTGTTATTATTATTGTTTCTTTTTCTTCTGTTCCCACCAAGACTCCAGCGAGAGTTCACATTCATACATGCTGTTAATGAACAAAACGATGAGACCGTTCTTTCACTAACCCTGGTTTAAGCACACATTATTCAGTGGGAATATCTCATCAGCAGCTGTGTTCTGCGGCCCCTTCCACAGGCTCTCAGCTGCTCTGGGGCTTCAGGTTTTGTATTGCCTGATCCGTGGGGTATTAATATGCTAATAAGGGCAGATTGTCAGACAGAGGGCTGAATTCTCTTCCCACAGTCTCAAACATCTCTAAAATCACAGCTCAAGCTATTCAGCATATTGCACCCCAAAATCACAAGAAGTTAAAACCAATATATGTGTGTGTTTTGCATAACATGATGCCTGTCTTGGGACTATTGAGATTGTGAGAGCGTCTGTCTGGGTGATTTCAAAACATTTTCACCTTTTTTGTTTTGTTTGGTTCATAGTTGATTTGGTTTTTCTCTTTCGCACTCTCGTTGTCTCTTTGTTTTGTTTCTCTATCTTCTCCGAGATGTTCTTTCCTGCATTGCTGAAAAGCGGCGGAGGTGAATGTGTGTCAAGATGTATTTCACAATAACAGCCTCACGCCTCCTTTATCCCGCAGCTCCTCGCTCTCACGCACACTCATACAGCCGCAGATGGGTTCTCGCGTGACCCCTGGCCTCTTTTCCCGGGAAAATCCTGACCCCTGCGTTTAGAGGCGATTGTTCCCAGGGGCCGATCTCTAATGAAGCTGCACTGATTTCTATTGTGAGGTGCTGTGTCTTTATGTCTCAGACGCACACACTTTAGTGGGCTCGCTGTAGTTTGCCAGACTGAGGCTTGTTCATAGTTCATGCCTGTGAGAAACTGAGAAATGCTACAGTAACAAGCAGATCTACCAATGATGGGTAACCATTAAGTAAATGGGAGGCTCTGATTTGCAGCAACTGTTTGATAACATCCATCAGATTTCAGTAATGAAAATGATTGCTATTAGTTCATCACAAAAACACTATCCTTCCACCAAGTAACATAGTTCATTAATCATACACTTGACTTGACAAAACTAGATCATTCACATTATAATTTAGTTTAATTTTAATTTAGATTTTAGAGCCGGAACTATCCAGAAAGTACTATTCTGTATTTGACCTTT